TAGGTGTTTCCATTGTAATATTGGTTTTTCCAAGATTGATAAATGCAGACAAGAATTTAACTTACGTTGCCAATACTATTGATTTTTTTTTATGTGTATTCGGAACTCGACAAAAAAAAACACACTACACGTGAAATCAATGAAAGTGGGAAGTTGAAAAATCATTGTGGAAAAAGAAAGGAAGTGATTTTAACGCGACCTCTTGGAAGTGCCTATTGGAAACTGATACGAATTTGGATTTTAACGTGCTCGTATTTTTTAACTGTAGGAATTCTACTATGACTAGGGGTACTTTTTAAATACCATACATGAGCAACTGAACATCTTGAATAAGTAAATTCTACCCAATATTATTTACAAAAATAAATCTTTCGCCTTACTCTAGAATACGCTCATATTTTCTACAAGCACATATTCCACTCTTTATAGGTCCAATTAGTGTTTTACAAAACAATCCAGTAATTTCAAATATGCGTTTCTATGAGCAATAGGATCTGCTGCTTAAATGATTTTTTAATGAAGTTTCTATTGGTCTTATTATTATTACTGTATTAATTTGCGTAGGATCTTGTAATTTCACGAAAATTGTCATAGCACAAAAACAAATATTTAGATTTAGAAAAAGCCAAATTAAAGGCTCATGAAATTCTAATTCAAGGTTCTACTCAAATAAAGATTGAAAAGAAGGAATTGATTTATGCTGCAGATCGTGACTCTCAGCATTTAGAAGAATAAAAAAAACATAGTTGTTCATCTAGAAAAAAACATATACTCGAAGAAGTACGTCGACAAGTTTCCGGACAAGCATTTCAAAAGACACTATTCATTTTAAATAATAGACAAAGCTCCCACATAAGTGATCACAATTAAAGCCTTGGGTGCATATTCAAATAAGGGAGAACACCTTGTGACCTTGCCATCATGAAAACACATGTTGTTGTCATAGTAGCTGCATGATTTAGAGTTGATACTAGGGTAGGGCCCTCCATAGTGTCCGATAACTGAGTATGGAGTCCTATTTGTGCGAATTTTCTTACAGCTCTAATAAACTCATGGTCAAAATTTGTTTCAACCAAGTGTTTTTTATTCGACCCTTCATGATAGCGCATGACCTACCTGTATTTTGTACTTAACTGACTCTTGCAAGCCTCGAGACACAAAGTGCATCAATTCAGACATCTCTGTCGAATTGCTGGACAGGAAGTGATTGTCAAAACTACTTCAAAATGTATCTTGTTTACTATATCAAAAGAATCTAGTGTTATTATACGGTCAATATCAGTATCCTTTGGTTAATCACATGGATATAAAAAAAGTAACAGATAACCCGTACTAACAAATTTTAAGTCTATCGTGTTTATCATTTTCACCAAGTGAGTTTGATTTCAAACTAAATAGACTCAATCATGCAAAACACAGCAGGACGCCAATCTATATGTTTGATGATTGATTTTCAAGAGTTTCTGTGGAATCAACTATCACGATCATAAAAAAAAAAAAAAAAAAAAAAAAAAAAAAAAAAAAAGTACTTATTGTACTCTTACCTCTTCTCGGCAATTTAGTAGCAGGCGTGGTTGGTCGCTTTCTTGGTTCACGAGGGGCTGCCTTCGTAACCACCACTTGTGTTTTAAATTCTTCAGGTCTGTGTTTCACAGCTTTTTGTGAGGCTGTATTGGGAGCCAGTGCACGTTATATCAAATTCGCACCATGGATTTTGTCAAAAATGTTTGATGTTTTTTGGGTTTTCTGTTTGATATTCTGACTGTTGTTACGTTAATTGTGGTCACTTTTGTCAGTATCTTAGACGTATAATGCATTGCTAAAAAAATGCCCGTAATTATCTGGATTACCAAACAAATACCTGCAAGAGATCCAAAACCCCACCAATAGCTGAGATTGTTAGGACTTCGATAATCTACCAGATGATTGTTGAATGTAGCAAATAATAAATATAGGTTGTTTAAGAATCGATACCATAAATATCCAATTGTTGTTTATATGGTGTAGTCAAATCGTTGAAAAACAAAAACCCAATTATAATCTGTGACATTGAGGTCGTTGGTCGGTCGCGTTATATCATTGGAGCATAGCCAAGTGGAAACACTGGAAAGGCATCGTTTTTTTTATACCGACATGCAAAGCTTATTTTCTTACTATTCTAATATGTATTTACCTAAATGACGCTTTAAATCTTCATTAACGACTTTCTCCCACTTCGTGGCCTCTGGTGACACAACCGCTGCAAAGCGTTCATCTTTCCCACCCACCCCAGGGTGGGGTGGTGTCGGCTCCATTGTTTTCTTGAATCCTTTTACTCCAGCGATTAATTCAATTCAGTTTTTGTTTCAAAAGCTGACGTATTAAACTTCGAAAACCTCCAAAATAAACCAAAAGAAAACCTATATGAAAGTACACCTACAATTAAATCTCACAGTACGATACCATAATCAAAAGGTATTACTGCCCAAGCAACTAAACATAAATGTAATGCTGTAGCCAGTTTAAAGATAAATAAATTAGCACTACTTGGCAGAGACAAACTCCGATTAACACTGAGTGTGGAAAAAACCCATATTATTACCAATCTGTCAAAAGGAATATAGGTTCAAGGTTATTATATATGTTTTTGACATCAGTTTTTCTCTTCATCTGAACTGTTTTCTACCAGAAGGAATTTGGGAGTTGGAGGAGAGAAAGGAAGTCAACAGGGCGACAAAAGAGAGGACGATAACGCAGAGCCAGGGCGGGAAGATAGACGGGGACGAATTGTGGCGCGGACGGCAGAGGTGGGGGAAAGCTAGCGAGATCTGCAGTGCTCAGGTACTAACGCGAATTGGCCGGAGGCGCCAGCCAAAAAGGTTGGACCAATTCATATTTTTTTGGTGTATGCAGCGCGTTTCCAGCATCAGACAAAAGTGTCTCAGAAGTACTGCTGGTTTAAGAAATCTTTAGTAGATGCCAGACTATATCTGTTTAAGTGATCTCACTTTTTGTGTTCTCCTTTTGTCAGTTTCCAGATACCAAAAGACAGACGTCACGGTTTCCACGAGTACCTTCCCCTGCTTCCAAAATGACTCTAGCCCGAAGCTGTGCCGGCATGGTGGGGCCACCTTCCGGCATTTTCGGACGAGAAAAAAAATAGCAGGGAAAGGTACTGGCGGTTTAACACCCGTCGCATGGATCTTGGTCTAGTTGTCCTCTCTCAACTATGACTTGGCGGCCGCGAAGCGGCCCGCCTGCCAATGCTGCAATGCTCAGTGGACTTCTGCACCTTTAAAAAGAGAGCGGAGTCGTTTTAGAGGGAATCGACTAACAACTAAAAAACACTTAACAACAATATGAGTGACGAGCAGTGCCAGACACTACCCTTTTTTTTTTTCTTTTTTTGAAAACATGTGCCCCAATCTATTCGTGGGGAGCAGCACGTGCTGGGAACCGGGCGCAGCGTCGCATATCGAATTGTACAGATCATTGAGAATATTTGAGATCATTTGAGATACCGGGCCTATTACCCGGCTTTGGCTGAGAATAGTCTGAGAACAGGATGTGATTCAGAAAGCATGGGGAGGGTCAATGAATATCGAATGACCTATTAAGGAACTAGTCATGCAACCGTGCCAGACACTACCCTAGAGTCGCTCCTTGGGGAATCATGATATCTCAATGTACCAGGAAAGATTTTGAACGTACATAGGCTATGCTGTACCAGGAAAGACTCTGAAGGTATCTAGGCTACGTTTTGGCTGTTGTGAACTCCTTTTTTCTGGGCAGGGGCATAATGCAAAAAGAAGAGAATGACAGAACGAAAGAACAGTGCCTGACCGTTGTCTCTGACAGCCTGTCCTCGGCCATACTAGCCATTAGGGCCTCGCTCCATTACTCATGACAGACACAAGAGGCAAGAATATGGCCGTGTTGGCTGTGTTTCTTTCCATGTTCTAGTGGCAGATTCATTCTCACTTTGCACATTTGGTGAGTTGTAGAGCGCACCCCTCATCGTTCGTTTTACACGGGCTGCTGCCAGCTGTAATGCCAAGGCTGCTCAAATTTTCCGGCCTGCCCTCCTCTCAGTCATATTCCCTGACATTCTCCTGATTCATCCTGATTCTTTCAGTGTAAGGGACGCTGGACCCTTTTTCCAGCAGGTGACACTCCCCACCAATAGATGGAGCCTCTCCCAGGGTGCTAGTGATGCCTGCTCTTACCAGCAGCACTAGCACCGCAGCGGGGGTGTGTTTCAAAAAAAAAAAAAAAAAAAAGCATCGGCCAATGGCCGCCGACTGGTTCGGCAGAGGTAGATCAAAGGTACTAACCTTCAAATTGGGGTAGGGATGTCACTACAACATGAATTGCGGAGGGGGTGCAGTTGGTTTGAAGTTTGAACGGCATGTTTTTAAGTGCTAGCAACTACTAGAATATGTTGCATGTTTGCTTCTGTATTGTGTCCCAGGACAGAAAATGTCGGTACCTGGAAAGATCTCCAGCTTGCCGCTTGCTCCTTGTGCTTCGACCTCCAAACCGGTTCATAAGCTTCGTGCTATACTGCCGATGACTCTCCATGGTTGTGCTTGCTCCTATCTTTTCTCCCTTTTCCTTTTTCTGTGCTCCTTTTTCATGCTTGCTGGGCACAAGTAACTGGCCTGGCGACCCCCCAGAATGGAAGGGCTATCAGTCTGCTGTGTGATAACAAAAAAAAAAAAAAAAAAAAAAACGTTGACGCACAAAGCACAGCAAGCTCACACAGCTGTGACAGAACAGACATCAAACCATCCTTTACGATCCATCACCAAGTTTTTTTTTTTTTAATATTCAATCACATGATTCTTTCTTTTTTGTTTTCTGAACTTTTTTCTTTTCCGGGTGTAGCCTGTCGCATTACTATGCCCATCAGGATTTGGGTTGGCAACCTGTTTCTCAACGGTTCAGACTCGCAATACAACTAATGACGCTAAGTAGGGTGTTTTTGCAGCTCCTACTTACCCTTGCTCGGCGATGGCAGAGGGTATCCCTTGATTTTGTTGGACCCTTGCCTTGACTACCCAAGCAACTTGTTTCTTAACAATTAAATGTCAGTTCAGCCACCAGGCAGGTACGCAATGATGCCTTTTAACAGGAACCTGTTGTGAGGGTCTCGAGCGTGTGATGTTGGAGATAACTGTCATGCATTTACACAAAAACAGCACACACCGACAACTGCAACGGTAGGCAGAGAGAGTTGATGAAGCATCGTACAAGTGACACACAAGCGGTGTGCACCAATGTTCAAACACCGCATGCAGACAACAGACGCACACTTCAGCTGCGCGTACAGTTTTCTTTGCACGGAAAAATAGAGGACGGTTAGATAGTACTTCCACTTCACCAGAGAATCTGGCAGTCACTTCTCTGTGGAAGCAAAGGACAGATGCTCATTCACAAATCAGGAGCCAAACTCTGCACACTCTGCAACTTTCTTTTGAACAGTAGCTATCACAACTCAGAAAGAGATCTTCATCTGCAAGAAAGACGATGCTGTTCACAACATCTATCCATCAATGAGCACTACAGCTCGCTGCGAAGGGAGAGTGCAACGTATCAGGTGCATGGATTGGGTTTATTTTATTAGGTTGTCAGGCATCTCCTTCCAGCACCGTGCCACACTGAGTTCACAGCACAGCCAAGCTTACCTTCACGCATGTGCTATGTAGCTATCCAGTCCATGCTGCTTCACATCCACTTTGCCTGCCACTAAGACTCCCTCTCTCTCTCTCTCTCTCTCTCTCTCTCTCTCTCTCTCTCTCTCTCTCTCTCTCTCTCTCTCTCTCTCCNCACACACACACACACACACACACACACACACACACACACAAACACGCACGCACACACACACTATTGCTCTCTCTCACACCCACACCCACAAATACACACAAACACACGCCAGTGTTTGGCCCAGCATGCATAGAGCTAGCAACCTTCCCTATGACATCGGGTGGCTTGTCGAATACACTGTATGGGAGTGTGTATGTTTCTTTTTCCATCTCAGCCAGGACTCGTAGGGCGAGACTGGCTCCAGAAGGCAGTAGTGACAAATGACTGTGGCTGAGCAAACTGGGGTCTGTGCGTGCGGCTGAACCTCTGCAGCCATTTTCGTCATACCAAACACATCGGGCGCAAACAGAGGACAGAGACTAGAGAAGAACATTCTCTGGAGTTCAACTGTTTTGCGCAATGATGTTGGTCGACCCCTTGCTGCCACTTATGTTAGCCGACTCTTCACTGTCGCCTATGTTTCGTCAACCAGCAGCGGAAGCTCCAGCCTTGCTTCACGACTTTCTGCCCAGAAAACATTACAACCAGCATGAGAGAACAACGCACAAGTCGATTGATGTATGATTAGAGTCAGATCGAGGACGGGCGGTAGAGCAAGTCGCCCGAGGAGGACACACACTCCAAAGCACAGCTGACCTTCATGGCAATTGTTAACGAAAACACAAAGAAGAAACTGCTGAGAAAAGATTGATGCTCGGACAAGAGCAGACATAAGGGACAACTACCAGATATACCATCAAATCAGTGGCAATAAAATTTAAGCGATCAATGAATCATTCAAGCGGAGGAGAAGACACAAACGCGACTCGGTGCGCAAGGCACAGAACATTCACTGAGTTCTCAGTGGAAAAATACCAGACGGACCTGACCGGATTATCTACAGAGTTCACCCTGGTCATTACCAGTTCTGCCTGAAGGTGCCTGGTCTCAAGCTAGGTCCATGTACAGCCAGGGGGTCCAGCGTTTCCTCAGGAACAGCAAATTTTGACGAATTTTCGGCCAAAAAACTCGGTTTCAATTTCGTTCAAAAAATAAAAAATGTCCATTTTGACAAAATGGTCATTACCACTCATTCACTTGCCGATACGTGTTATGCTGCTACCTTTCTTTCCTTTTTTTTTTCGAAAAAAAAATCAGAGTTATATTACTGGCTCAGTGCCCAAGGCAGAAATGGCCACCGACATTCAGGGGTTGCTGACCCATGTTACCTTTCACACTTGACTGTCAAACATGCTTGCAGTATAATCAATCACACCTGCACAGAACACGCCTCGAGACCCTCCTGCCGCCAGGCACACAGGTGCTCATCACACAGCGACAAGCTCTGTGTACAATCTCTTGGCTAGGTACTGTGGTAAATCCACCCCACCCTTCATGCGTGCAGTATAATCGCTCACTGCTGTGCACGACACGCCTCAGACCTCTTGCAGGAAGGCGTGCAGGTGCCATCTCTCGGCCAGTTACAGTGGTGAGTACAGTTTCAATACCACTCCTGTAACCTGACTGTGCATAGAATTGAACCGGCGATCTCTGGCATTTTCCATTTTTGCCACTAAGCCGGTCTTCCACACGGTCCTACCGGAAGCCCTCATTACTGTGTGCTACCGGTCCCCCTGATGTTAAAAAATCGGGGGAACTGGTGGCTTAACAGACCAGTGAGTTCACCAAGCAGTCAACAAGCGAGCGCCTTCCGCCTGAAATGGCCCAAAAGAGGCCTCAAAGGTCCAGGAGGGTGAGTCGTCCCGGTCTAAGAAGGTCAACAGTCAAGCTCAGACTCACGAGGGAAGCTGAAGAGTCACAAGTCTTTACCAGGAAAATCTGAGCCATCCAAGACTTCATCACCGGCCCAGCACACTCAGGGTTCCAATACATCCAGACTCAGCTGCAGCCAACCTTGGACCATAAGTCATTCTGAACATTCATCTGGGCCCTCCAAAGCATTGCATCTCATCCAACCAATCAGTCCTTGACCTGGCGGGTCGCAGTATATCGCCAGGCAGGGACTCCTTTTTCGTTCCTTCGCTTGTTGGGTTGTTGCCCCTGCCAGCAGCAGCTGTTAAAGCAAGAGAGCATCAAGATCGCCATAGTCATAGCTTGGGAGCGCACAACCCGGCGGGCTGGTACCATAACTAGCAATGTGGACGCTAGATACGTAAATTGCTGAGAAGCGGCGGTGCGATATGGGGGGAAACTAAATGGTGGGGAGGAGACTTGACATAGCTGGAGCTTGGAGAGACTCGAAGCCATAGCCGCTATGCGGCTTTGATCACATTATGTTGTCTCAAATCGCCCTGGCTCAGTTACGCTCATGTTTGACGAGCTCCTGATGTGCTGCATCGGCGTTCTTCAATTTGCTGGCACTTCCTTGAGAATTGGAGAGCGGACATAATGAGGGAGCATTGGCAAGATATGAACCCTGTGGTAGAGAAGGGTAAGGATGATGGGCAATGGTAGCAGGCCTTTGATCCGCAGTGGCTGCTTGATCGGAATCATTACTCCACATCAAGATAATGGCATTAGCGTGTGGCATCAGTCTTACTCGATCTTCCGACACTCTCTTGAAAAGTGGAGAGGGCACGGATGTGCCGAGGAGGGAGCATCAGCAAGAGATGAAGACACCTGCTCGAGAAGACTGAGGACGATGATTAGTGTTAGCTAGCTACTCTACATCGAGATAATGACATTGACATGTCGCATTAGTCTATCCTCCGCCACTCTCTCGGAAAAGTGGAGAGGGCACATAATGCCAAGGACGGAGCATCAGCAAGAGATGAACACAAGAAGTGCCTGGTACGAAAGAGTGAGGATGACGATTCGTGGTAGCGAGCTTTGCTGCTCTCGACTGGCCGCTTGGACACGATCAGGACCACAGGACCCCTCGATGGTGCAGTCCTCAGGACCCTCCTGAGGACACTTTGGTAAGGAAGCTTGTGGAAGGTGCGGTCCTTCACCGGTGTCTACCCCGTAAGTGCTGGTAGACCCTATCACAGCTTCGAAAAGCCGCCCAACGGGCGGAACCCTCCGAGGTACGGTCCTTCACAGTTGGCATCCTTTGTGGAGAACACGAGTCACAAAGGATGCTGTCAACGGATCATCACTAGAATATCCATCGACTTCCCAGGGTGACGTAACTTTGGACGTTTGGGGGAGCAACTTCGATTAGACATGATACTCAAGGCCAAACTCTTCATGAGGGTGTCTGCTTCACAGAGCAATAGCGGAAAACGCACAAAAAAAAACAAAAGGGTAACAACAGGCACAACTGGTCAGCTAGATACTGGATTTGTTGTTATGTTTTGAGTCTTTTGACCAATTCTTGGATCGTCTACTCCTGGACAACCCACAGTCGTTGGATCACAACCATTTAGGCCAACCCCTCACTTATTCACGTCACTTATTCACGTGGGTCCAAAGAATAATAGCGGAGGAGACGAGGTGCGCAGCCTGCCCTTAAGCCACCAGTGCCCACGAACATGTTTTAACGAAGCAAGGTCGTCTTTTCCACACCTCTGTCACCGAGGCTGAAAGTAGTGTCCATGGCGGAGACGACATTCACCAGGACACCTGAGCAGGCAGAAGGCGGACATCATAGGCCGCTCAGGATTGTCTGGGGTCCTCAGCACACCTGAGTACCCCTGAAAAAAAAAAAAAAAAAAAAAAGGGTGCCACAGCCTGCTAGCCCAAGGGGAAGTTCACAGCTGACAGTGGGGAGCCGAGTGCACACCTGAGTACCCCTGAAAAAAAAAAAAAAAAAAAAAAAAGGGTGCCACAGCCTGTTAGCCCAAGGGGAAGTTCACAGCTGACAGTGGGGAGCCAAGTGTGCAGGTCTGTGTCCGACCTGACTGGTCGCTTGTATACATATGAGGACACACTTGCCTGATTTATTTTCTTTTCTTTTTAAGTTTTTCTGGCTTTTTTTTTTTTTTTTTTTTTTTTTTTTTTTAAAGCAGCACTGATTGCCCTCACTGAGGGGATTAACTGCCCATAAAGAATTCTGTTTTGGCAAAACCAGAGCCTTCATTGTAGTTCACGGAAGCACAGTTTCATCCAGCCACACGCACCGACATCATTTCAGTATCTGATAGGAATCGTCACCTGTATAAATTCCAGGAAAGGAGGAGCCGCTATCGATGGTCACAGGCAGCAGTCTTCTTGAGGAGCACGAATACGCAACATGACTGCATCCCAGATATTTGTTGATTTCAGGGGGCAGTGGTGGTTTAAACCTACGCTGGTTAAAAATCCAAGCCTGAATGACCCCAAAGTTGGCACATAGAAGGTGTGGCTTCCACATATATGGCCGCATGTTTCTATGGAAGGGTCCCCGTGCTAGTGCTTTAAACCACCACTGCCCTGAAGTGAGACCATGCTCAGGGTACTGCAAGAGTTCGTCCATAGTGGCCTTTAGTGCTGACACACTCTTCCATTTTCGATCGGCTATGTTGAGGATCAGATGCTCCGTACGGCTGGCCAGGTTCTTGTCCTCAAACCAATTCTTTAAGGCCAGGAAGAAATCTTCGATGCTCGTCTGTTGGGAGTATTCCACCATCGATGTGCACCCTGCCTCCTTCATTAGGGAGAGAGCTTAATTCGCAGCATCTCCCCCAAGGCACGAACTTGCCATCAAGACACGGTCCCAGTATGGTAGCATATGTCCGTATAGGTAGTGGCGCTGAACCACTGGCGACACTATCTCCTAGGAAGACATTCTGAAGTCTATTCTGACCCACGAGACCCTACGCTGCTTCAAAACCCAAGCCTGAATGACCCCAAAGCATGGCTGTGCCGGCAACCGGCCGGTTGGCCCGGCCCGGATCCAACCGGAATTCCGGTTGGGTTCAAAACTGGGTCAATTTTTTTTTATTTTTTTTTTTTTAAACATGGTTGGACTGCGCTCACCGAGATCTCCCTGAATCCACAAAGAAAACTTTGAACAGAGAAGTTTCGTTTGGGGGGTTGGGGGGG